TTGCACCTGAGCCTCTTGCAGCACAGCCACAGAGAGGTGGGGTGTCGGGGACAGTTGTGCTGTGCCAGTGGGTTGGCTCTCCTCACTGCATTATCAGTCAGCCGAGAGGCAGCTCAGAGAGAAAACAGGCTGAGGGGTGAAGTGACTTAATTTGTGAGGTCACAAACCCCATGAATGGCCGAGCTGCAGTTCAAGCCCAGGTGTGCCTGGCTGCAGAGCTGTCTCTTTACTAGAGGCGCCACACTCCTCATTTAGCTTACACAGGCTCTGTTTACACCTGTTGCCATAACATGCATATTGAAAGTCCATCTTCATTCATCAGCATTCTGACTCTGAAGGCTCACTGTCTCCCAGCCCCCAGATAGAGGGTGTGCTGTGTGTATTTGCCCTAATCCAATAAAACAAACCAGGTGGATCTGCCCCTGCCTAGGAGTTGCTGTGCCTAGTCTTGCTGTGGGTGTAGTGGGGAGACCAGTGGGTTCAACCTCTCCGAGGCCACCACAGGACAAGCCCAGTGGGCTGAGAGGGTAGGGAGATATAGCATGGGGGAAGAAACAGGGTGAGCAAAGGCCTGGAGGTGGGGCCACTGAGCACATGCCCAGCATTGGGGCAGATCTTCTGGTCTGCTGGGTAAGAGATCAACGAGGAACCTCCTTGCTGGGTCTCAGCTGCAGATGGGAACTAGGCTGCTCTTGCGATGCAGGCGCTGAGTGGCTGGGACTACGACCTGGGTGGAGCCCTCTGTCAGCACTGCCCCTTCCCTGGGGTTTTCCACATTGTGTCTTCCCAACACAACTTCTTCTTTCTGGGGCCTGGCCCTGACTCAGCAGGCCTCGCTGCCATGGGGTAGGCAGGTGGGAGTTAGCCAGGAGGCTTCCTGGAGGAGGTTGCTAGAATAAGGTCTGGAAGTCCATGAGGAGCTCCCACCTTCTTGGCACATAATCCCTTTCCTGCGAAGGCTCTGCTGTTACCCTCTCAGTCCTGCATGGTCACTGGGGCCATCGGAACTGTGATGGCATTCCTGTTTGGATGGGGCGTCAGCTCCAGAGCTGACCCGTCCTGAACCCAGGTGGCCAGGGTGAGCTCAGCGAAGCCCTCAGATCCTGGCTGTGGCCTCATTCCTGCTGGTGGTTGAGTACACAGGCTGTGGTGCTGGACTGCCTGGGTTCAAATCCCAGGTGCCAAACTAAGGACACATTCCTCAGTGTCTCTGTGTCCTCATCTGTAAGGGGGGATAACAGTAAGCCAGACCTGATAGGGTCCTTTTGGTGAGTCAATGAATGCATCCATGTGAAGCACTTAGAAGATGCCTGGACTGCACACCCACATGTGCACACATCTAATAAGAATTAAGTCATCCAGGTCTTCATTTATTTATTAATCCCCGCTGAGTGCTAGGCACAGAGTAATAAAAAGGGCAGGGGTCCTTGCCTCAGGGAAACCACATGCAGGGGAGGCTACAGTCACTCTAGACTCTCGGGGCAGTGATGGGGAGCCCCAGAGGCCGGAGGTGGAGTTATGAGCTGGTCCCCGAGGAAGAGGAGGGCAGTTTTGCTTTGTTGCCACTACCTGCCCCTCAGCACTGCCCTCTGACCTGGGGGAGGTTGGGGAGCCGGGCCCACTCAGCCTGATTTGGTGTTGCAGGGGTCGAGCCTGTCCCTACTTCCGGTCTGACTGCCCTGGCCGGACACCTTGGAGCTGTGCTCTGAGCTGCTCAGGGGCCGGGCCCCCAGGGACTCCTTCCTCTTAGAATCCGGGAAGCTGTGAGAAATAGCTTTGCATATCTCCAAGCACCTGCACATGTCCAGCTGGGGCCAGAACCCCACATTGTGCCCATGGGCTGTGGGTGCTGATCGGTCTCTTGGTCATCATTTACCTTTCACTGGCTTCCCTCCCAACCCCAATGCCAACCTATCTGCCTGCCTACTCACCTACCCACCCGTTCTGTCCATCTATCCATCTGTCCATCTGCCCACCCAGCCATCCAACATGCCCTTGTTGCTCACTCAGCCAGGCCCTGTGTGGGGCCGTGGTGATAGTGTCAAGTCAGATGCTGCCCCTGCCCTGAGGGACTCAGGGTCAGGGGGCGCGATGGCCTTGCAGTACCCACTGATGTCATCTTCTTCGGTTCAGTGAAACATTCAGACTCTCAAGACCACCGCAGGCCCAGTTAGCATCAGATTCCCTGAGAAGCATGGAGGAAGGGAGCAGCTGGCCACTGACAGGTCCTCCTCTGCTGTGGGGTCAGTGCCATATTCATTCTCTGTGCCCCTCCAGGGGACAGCACAGGGCGAAGGGCTGAGACAGCAGGCAGGTGTGGGGACCACCCTGGCTTGGAAACCTTGCTCCAAGGGTTCGGTATGTCTTCTAACAAATTCACAGGTGTGGTTTTGGGTCCTGCATGGTGTGTACCCAGTTATAAGTCACCACATGTGGGAAGCCCAAAGCTCAGCTTCTCCCAGTCAAGAGCCCCAGGTTGCAAGACCACATACAGTTTCTCCCAGTCTGGCTGCAGTTCCTCACTCAGGCCACACAGGCAGTGCTGTCTAGGAATGTGGCCGACGTACCAACTTCAGCAGGTTCTAGGGGAGCAGAGCAAGGAAGCTAGCTGAAGGCCAGACTCATGCAGACAGACAGAAGGCTTTACTTTTTCTTTACTCCCACAGGAGATGAGGCCATCAGAGTACAGGGCGATATGGAAGTAGCTGAGTGCCTTAAGAAGCACAGAAACTTTGGAATCAGGGACCAGGTCCTGGCTTAGATGCTAGCACAGCACCTGGAACAAAGAATTTGCTTTAAGAAAATGTTATTTTGGGTTATTTGTTTAAGCTCATAACATGGAATCCTGGGCAGGGACTGAGAAGCATGAAGGAAGGTCAGGAAAGACATTCAGAAACAGGCCATCTGAGGGCCTCCCTGGTGGCGCAAGGGGTTAAAGTCTCAGCACTATGAGGCAATCTGCAGCCACTGCAGCACAAGTTCTATCCCCAGCCAGGGATACCCACATGGCGCAGCAGACCTCTCCTGTCTCACCCACTGCTCCCCTCAGCAGTGTGTTTCAGTCAGTCTGCCTGTTCTGTTCCCCACTCTATCTCTGGTGAATCCTCTCACCCCCACAACTCTGGCCTGTACCCCAGTTCTTCAATGTAAAAATATATAAAATCTTAAAAAAAAAAAACAAACAAAAACCAGGCCATCTGAGTTTGAAGTTAAGGGATGAGTAGATATTCCCCAGTGAGAGACCAGGGGTGAGGGGATCCCTGGAGGAGGCAACAGCAGGAGCAGAGGAAAGCCTGGCATCATGATCATACCCCAGTTCCCCCTTCCTTTTGTGATAGCCCCCCACAAAAGTCAGCCACAGGAGAGTATATCTGTCATTGCAAGAAACACTGGGGCAAGAGACCAGGCTGGAAATAACAGTGGGAGGAGTTGCTCACCCCTTCAGATGTGCCTCCCAGTGAAGACAGCTGGAGGGGCCGGGTGTCTGGCTCAGGCTGGGGGTCTGTGAGTGCCCTGTGTGCTGGCACCCAATGTCTTGTCTTGGTTAATCCTCCAAACACCCTGTGAGGTTGGTCATGTAGCCCCACTTGAGAGAAGAGGAAACTCAAGGATCTGAGAGGCTAAGTGGTTGCCCCTAGACATACAGAAACTAAGACAGAGGCACATTTCAAATCCATACCCCCAGTGCCGAAGCCCTTCAGGAGACACTGAGTCAAGGGTAGCAGTGTGATCTGTACTGACAGACAGGAGCTCCATGGGCTCAGGAACCCAGCGGGCCCCCAAACCTGTCCATGGAGAGCCAGGGAAGATTGCCGGGCTTTGAGGGCAGGGATGAGCTAGGATTGTAAGTGAGGAGTGTAGGGGGATGAGTCTGAAGGGTCTGAAGGCCCCCAGGGGATGGTGAATATCCATGGCTGTGACCCAAGCCTGGTGGTCTCAGGACCTCAGGACTTGGTTTCTAAGGCTCTGGTTTGTGCCTTTGGCCTCGATGCCCTTTTCTGTCCTGCCCCATCCATTTGCCAGTGGACACCTTCTTATCCTAAAAAGTTTAGGTCAGGGCCTCCCCTGGTGGCGCGGCAGTTGAGCGCTGGGTTGCGAAGCTGCCCGCAGCCTCTGCAGCGCCGGTTCGATCCCCGGGCACTGGCAAGGGTCCACATGGCGTGCAGACCTCTCCTGCCGCCCGCTGCTCCCCCAAGCAGTGTACTTCTGTCCTTCTGCCTGTTCTGCTCCCCGCTCTGGCTTTGGTGAATTTTCTCACCCTTCCGTGCTTCTGACTGTACCCAGTGCATGTATAAATAAATAAATAAATCTTAAAAAAAAAAAAAAAAAAAAAGTTCAGGTCAAGCATCACTTCCTGCATTCCCTGACTCCCCAGGCTGGGGCACCCTCCTCCCAATTCTGGCTCTTGTCCTTCTTTGAGAATGGATCCAGTGGGCACATGTGATTAAAAACTAGTGCTTTGGGGGCCCCCTGGTGGTCTAGGGGTTCAGTCTCAGTGCTATCACCCCTGCATCCTGAGTTCGATCCCCAGCCAGGGAGCTAACCCATATGGTGCAGCAGACCTTCCCTGCTCCCCTCAGCAGTGTATTTCAGTTGATCCACCTGCTATGCTCCCCACTCTGTCTCTGGTGAATCCTCTCACCCACCCACCCATACCTCTGGCCTACATGCCAGTTCTTCTGCTAAATAAGTAAATAAATAAATATTTTTAAAAAATTAAAAACCAAAAAACTAGTGCTTTGGGCACAGGTGACCCTGTCACAGCCATGTGGGGCCAGCTCACACATGCCAAAGAAGGAGCCTGCTTTCTTTAGCTTTGGAGGGATTGGGTAGGGCAGTGGGTGAAGGAGGCCTCCTGTTTGAATTTGTGGGAAATGAGTTTTGCTACAACGCAGGTGAGCTGGGAAATCAGTGGGTTTGCACCCTAGCTCTGTCTCTTAGACAGTAGACTCAGCTGCACTGAGCTAACCCCTTGGTGCCTGACTTTTTTCTGTTCCCAGCCTTCCCTCTGAGGAGGAGGTACAGACTCTATCACTGTCATCCCCTTCCCAGCCAGAGCCTGAGAAGTCCCTGTCTCCACCTCCCAGCCCCCCGAAGATCCCCCCAAAGCCTCCTCGACTGGTTCCGGAGTTTGGTGAGTGGAACACTAGGCAGGAGGCCTCTTGGTGGGTGGCACCACCTTTCTTGTGGGCCCTGGACAGGTGAACATCTTTCTTTTCATTCTCAAATGGGGAGTCAGCACCCACCAATATCACCTAATATCACCTACTTACTGACTGCTTAGATGTGGGCACGTGGCAAACTTTTTGAGTCTGGGAGTATTTTCCATTGGTGAGGGTGGTTTGCTTGTCCTGGGATTGTTCTCTTTTCTCGATTCTCAATTCTTGTTGCTTTTTTGCCTTTTGTAGACAGGCCCTGCCCATGACACCCAAGTTTGCCTGCCCTTTCCTTTGTCCGCCTCCTTAGTGCTGTCCTATGAGGCTCCCCAGAGTATAAATAGCACTTCCTGTCCCGTGTGTCTTTTAATGCAAGCCAGGCTGTGGTGGGGGCGGGGTCCTTGGGTGGAGGGTGGCTTTGTGAAACCAGGCTGAGGTGCCCCAGGAGGGGAGGCCAAGATTCTTGCTTCTGAGTCTCTTCCACCCCTTTTTCTCCCCAGATGACTCTGACTACGATGAGGTCCCAGAGGAGGGGCTGGGGGCCCCAACTTGCGTGATGACCAAGAAGGTGTGGCAAGCGGTGTTTAGGGTTTGTGTCTGTCTGTGTAGAGGGCAGGCTGCCTTTCAGACCCTGGGGATCCCCAGGTGGAGAATGGGTAACCAGCTTCCAGGAGTCCCCTTCGCCTCACAGGGGTGGGGTCCACACAGCTCCAGACAAGGGATGGGGCCCTGGGGACTCTAGTCTGCCGCTCTGACTTTGGGCTGTGGCTGCATCTGGATGGGCGTGTGTGGCCTCTTTTCTCCTTGTGTGTTTTGAGCACATCTGTCCTGCAGTGTGTGTCTGTCTATCTCTGTTTCACTTTCTGTATTCCCATGTCACCCCTCTCTGCGTATTTTGTCTTATGTCAGAATATCTGAGTCTCATTTCTCTCTTCCTCTACCTTTCTCTTTGTCTCTGATCTAGGCCATGTTGGCTGATTCTCTGTGTCCATGTGACCCTGACTCCCTGGGTCCCTGTGCAACCTTCCAGCGGGGGAGGGGCATGTGAGGAAACAGAAATAAAAGTGCTGAGTCGTGTGGCTCTGGGATGGAGTGGATGGGGTTGTGTGGCAGCCTCTGGGGTGTGTGGCAACCTCTGGGACTGGAAGGGAAGTATGACGCTGAGCCGATCTGGGGAGGCAGGAGCAGCCCCCAGCAAGAGCAGTCCCGAGGGCCGTGCGTGTGGCCAGTCTGCTGAGTGAGGGGGAGGACCTGTCTGGGGACGACCAAGGGGACGAGGATGAGGGTGACCACGCCTACGAGGGTGTTCCCAAGTGAGTACACACTCTTCTTCTTCCACCCAGCCACCCCGTGCCCAAGCCCCGCTTTGTCTCGACCATCCATCTCAGCCCTCCTCCACGGGAGCCCCCACCAGCCCCCCTCATTCCCTCTCCTCTCCCCCAGTGGTGGATGGCACACCCGCAGTCTGAATTCACCCTTGCCCAGCAGCTTCCTGATCCCCGAGCTCCCGCCATACCCCATGGATGGGCTTCCCGGGGGCTCTGCCCCCATCACACCCGTCATCAAGGCTGGCTGGCTGGACAAGAACCCTCCGCAGGGGTGAGTGAAGCCTCTTGGGTGCTGCTTGTGCTCTACATGATGCGGGCAGTGCTCTAGTTACGGGTTTCATGGATCTAAAAACCAGAGGGGTTGAGGCTGTTGGAGCTGGTCTCCCTCCAGGCAAACTGCAGTCCCTAAGCATCCCCAGCAGACTGTTTTATCACCCTTAAGAGTGAGAAGTGCTGCTGAGTCTGACGCCATCACTCCTGCTGCGGTCCATTTCTCAGTTTGGGATCCTTCTTTCTTTGGATCTAACTTTGTGGCTGCTAGAGGGGGCGGGGATGATCCTAGCGACTCTCCCCTGAACTCCACTGCTTTGCTTTGTTGTCCATCTGCCTCTCCCTCTCCAGATCTTATATCTACCAGAAGCGGTGGGTGAGGCTGGATGCCGATTACCTGCGGTACTTTGATAACAACAAGGTGAGGCCCACATCAGTGTCTGACAGGACCCCTGCTCCACCTTGGCCCTCTGTACCCTGGAGGAGCCCCTCCCTGCATGAATCCTTATCTGAGCTGCAGTCTGACTCCTTGAACCGTTGAGCAGTGGTTCCTGCTGGTCCATTGAGCAGTGTGGGCTGTGGGCTGTGGTCAGTCCCTGACTGCCTGTGGGGGATGAGGTGCAGCCTTCGTTTCAACTGAGGCTGAGGGAATCAGGGTAGGGCTGGGTCTCTGGAGACCCAATCCCCCCACCCTCCAAGTACAGCTCCTCTCTCTTCCCCAGGATGCCTACTCTAAGCGTTTTGTCTCTGTGGCCTGCATCTCCCGGGTGACTGCCATCGGGGACCAGAAGTTTGAAGTGATCACAAACAACCGGACCTTTGCCTTCCGGGCAGAGAGTGATGGTGGGGACTGGTGGGGGACAGAAGACTGGCAGATTGGCCAGATAAGTGGGAAGAGAACCAGGGTACATCTGCACCCCCACATCAGACCTGGCAGTGGGACACCTTCTGACCAGCTCTGTGCTTGTGATACCCATTGAGGCCTCAGAACCACACATTCCCTTTGTAGGCTCAGATAGGTGAAGTGGCTTGCCCAGCATCAGTGACATAGCTGGGGACGGGGGCCTGAGCTTGTCCCAGCCGGAGCACTCAGAGATAATAGAGGTTGGCTGGACTCTTTGGCACAGGTGTTGCCCAAAGAGCCTGGTTGGGGAGCTAATTCTCAGGGGGCTCCCTGCCAGGCTGAGCCTGGGTTTACACCACCCTCTTTGCCCACAGCGGAGCGGAAGGAGTGGATGCAGGCCCTGCAGCAGGCAGTGGCTGAGCAGCGTGCCCGAGCCCGGCTGTCGAGTGTTTCTTTATCGGGTATTCGAGCCCCAGAGCCCCCTGACCATGCTGGCAGCCTAGAGCTACGTGGCTTCAAGAACAAACTATATGTGGTCGTGGCCGGGGATAAAGTGCAGCTGTACAAGAATCTGGAGGTGTGGAGGGGTAGACCAGGCCATGGAACTCCTACCCTTCCCCATGCCCTGGCTCTGAGCCCTGCCCTTTTCCTCCCCCGCTTATCCTTACCGAGTCTGCTTTTTACCTGTTCCCCTTCCTGCCCCTAGTTCTGGCCCTGTCCCCTGCTTGGGCCCTGAGTGTTACCTTCCCATCACCAGCCTGGCTCCTGTAATCCTATCTGTTGCTAATGGCCCCTCAGCCCAGGCCCATTGGCCCATGCCCAGATTCCCAAGCCTTCCATCATCTCCCTAGGCATTTTTTAGTCCCTAAGGTACCACCTCCCTCTTTTCTTCACTTTCTCTCTGACCTTGACCCCCACCTTCCAAGTCTTGCCTTCATTTCTCCCACCTACCTACCAGGAGTACCACCTGGGCATTGGCATCACCTTCATCGACATGAGTGTGGGCAATGTGAAAGAAGCAGACCGGCGCAGCTTTGACCTCACCACCCCTTACCGCATCTTCAGGTGAGCCTTCCTCCCCTTACTCACCTGCATCCTCTCTCCCTCCCAGTATTTTTTCCTTGCAGGTGTGGAATGCTCCCCTTCCTAGGATGGATTCTCTCTTCCTATCCCATCTCAGGCCTGCCCACCCCTGCTGGTCCTTTATCTTCTCTCGCTAAGCTTTTCAGTCAAGCCTCAGCTCAGGAGTTATTTCTTTCCAGTAGTTCTTTTCTAGTCCCTGGGGCAGGGGTAAAGGGGTGAATGGCAGAACCCCCTCAGGACTCCTCTACCCCCCATACATCTCTCAGTTCGTGGTCTCCTTGTCTTTATCCATACCCACCTTCCCCACGGACCCAGGATGCCCTGCTCATCTGACTGTATGTGCCATAACTGTTTCCTCCAGGCTGTACCCTTGAGTGTTTTCTCCTAATCTCTCTGATCTTTTTCTCACCCACCTGCCCCCATTCCTGTTTCCCCAGCTTCTCAGCTGAATCAGAGCTAGAGAAGGAGCAGTGGTTGGAGGCCATGCAGGACGCCATTGCTGAGGCTCTGTCTACCTCAGAGGTGGCCGAGCGCATCTGGACTGTGGCCCCCAACAGATTCTGTGCCGACTGTGGTGCCACCCAGCCTGACTGGGCCTCCATCAACCTCTGCGTTGTCATCTGCAAGCGCTGCGCAGGTGTGTGTGTGCGGAGAGAGTGAGGTTCCCAGGCTGAGGGGTGACAGAGCTGGTATGTCAGGATGGCTGAGGGGCTGGAGGAAAGACAGTAGTCAGAGGGATTTGACTTATCAGATCTCATGCACTGAGATATAGGAGAGGTAAAATGGCCCATTCAGGGTCAGCTCGCAAATAAGTGAGTCTAATTTGAAGCCAGACCTGTTGGGGCCCAGCACCTGCTGGTGAGACAGGAGGACTGGCCGGCGTCAGGCTGAGCAGGGCTTTGTCTGCAGAGGAGGAGTTGGGGTGGTTTTTCTCTGGAGGGGTACAGGAGGCAGAACTTGGTAGGGACATGATTGGATTTTGCATCAGACTGGCTGATGGGTACAAGCTGAGTTGGAGGGGGTGAGGCAGCGGGGTGTCTGAGGCAAATGTCCAGGAAGCCTTGGATCATGAGGTCTGGGCATTAGACAGTGATGACTTAAGTGGAGACCACATTAGGAAGGCATCGGTTCACAGGTTGTGAGGGTGACTAGAGTGGACGTGGTGTTCTCTAGGAGGCTCTGGGGGGACATGAGGCAGAGCAGAGCTAGGCACTCCTTGTGCCCCCAAGCCCCTGCCCTGCTCCACAATCCTTTGCAGGACCTGTACCTGAGCAAAGCCCATTTCCTCCAGCACCAGCTTCCCCCTCTGCCCTTTCATTCCACAGAGATTATTGAGTGCTCACTGTGCCAGACTTTGTTCTAGGCACAGAACCCTAAAGCAGGAAATCAAGGTTCCTGCTCTTGCGAAGCTACTATCCTAGTGGAGAGAGGCAGAAAATGCACTAGCCAATAGGGGTATTAGGTAGCAACAAGTGCTGTGAGGCAGAGAATATGTTTGTTGGGGAAGCCTGCTCTGAGGAGGGAAGAGTTCAGGTGAGAGTGACAGGAAGGAGCCAGTCACTGGAAGACACAGAGAACTGCAAAGGCCCTGAGGCAGGAATGCGTATGGATGATTAGAGGGTGCAACTGAGCAGGACTGTGGGGACAGCAGCAAAGATGCATGAGATGAAGTTGGTGGTTAAGAAAGTAAGGAATTCTGGGACATCTACAGGACAGATTTGAAGTAAGGGAAATAGCATTTTATTTTATTTTTAAGATTTTTTTTATGTATATAAGAACTAGGGTACAGGCCAGAGGTTCAGGAGGTGTGAGGATTCTCCGGAGACAGAGTGGGGAACAAAACAGATGGATTGACTGAAATACACTGCGGAGGGGAGCAGCGGGCAATATAGGAGAGGTCTGCTGCACCTTGTGGTTTAGCTCCCTGGCCGGCTGGTAATTGAACTTGTGCTTCAGAGGCTGCAGACACAGTGCTGTGACTTAACCCCTTGCGCCACCAGGGACACCCTGGAATTAGCCTTTTAAAGACATTACTAACTGGGCTGTGTGGAGAGAGGCCTGCAGGGACCAAGCATGAGTGTGGTTTGCCAGCTAGGGGGCTGCTGTGGGAGCCTAGGTGACAGTTACCCCTGGTGCTCAAAGCAGGCGTGTTTGACTGGATACCTAGAGCTGCAGGTCTCACCTTTGGGTGGGCTCAGAGATGGGAGGGTGAGTAATCATGTGAAGGGAAGGACCCAGATGACCCTCTCTTTCCAGGAGAGCACCGTGGTCTAGGTGCTGGCATCTCCAAAGTGAGGAGCCTGAAGATGGACAGGAAAGTGTGGACGGAAACACTCATTGAGGTGGGAAGACCCTTGCTTGCCAGTTGCACTTGGGGTCGGCCTCACTCAGCTTGCCACCTAGGTCTCCCAATCCTATCCCCTCTGTCTCAACAACCCCTGCACTTTGGAGCCAGAGGATACTTTTGGGATCATCTAGTGGGAGGGGAATTTGGAAAAGTTGATATTTGGCAATATGAGCTCAAAATGTTTTAAATTTTAAAGGGGTTATTAAAAAAAAATAACTATGCAACAGAAACAGAGATTGTGTATTCTACAAAGCCTAAAGTGTTCACTTCAGTAAGTACATACATTAGGGGACACTCACATACACATATGTACCCATGCTGTGTACTCGGGGTTCCCAGGTACCGATGTGCAGGTAGTTTTAGGGGAGAACCTGCAACAGGAAACTCGACCCAGGGATCGACTTCACAGGGCCTCCCTGACAGCAGCAGAACTGAAGACTCGAGCATTTTGGGTATTACAGTCCCTGTGAGCGAGGGTCAGAACCCCCACTTTACAATGAGGACATCGAGGCCCAGGAAGCGAAAATGACTTGGCTCAAAGTCACAGAGTTCGGTGGTGGCACCTATGACCCCAGCACTCACTATAGGTCCTGACTAAAAGGCAAGGTGTGATGAAGGAAATGGCTGTGGAATAAACAATCAGCAGAATGAAAGAAGTAATAAACTAGTCCCCTAAGTGGTGGACTCTTGGGCTCTTACAAAAAGTGCACCTGAGCCCAGGGAGGAATGACAGGAATAGAAGATTTATTCAAAATCTCTGCCCATCCCCTGGCTGACAAGTTAGGCGCACCCCACCCGCCAGCCTCACGAATGTAAAGTTCCGGCTGTGGGGTGGGTGGGCCAGCAAGTCTCCCAACCAAGTGCCAGGCCTGGGGACACACCTGTCAGACCACCTGCTCTTGTCCTGTCACTGAGCTGAGGAACTGGGCGCAGGCCTGGGGCCGGTGGGGTCGCCCATGGCTACCAGATAGGTGGCCTGCCTCTCCCAGGTCCTTGCCTGACCATCTAAGATTATTGTGGGCACAGGTCCCTCACAGGCTGCCCTCTAACCTCTTGCCCACACTTACAGCTCTTCTTACAGCTGGGCAATAGTGCCAGCAACCACTTCTGGGCAGCCAACGTGCCCCCTAGTGAGGCGTTACAACCCAGCAGCAGCCCTGGGGCCCGGCGGCACCACCTGGAAGCCAAGTACCGGGAGGGCAAGTACCGCCGCTACCACCCGCTCTTTGGCAACCAGGAGGAGCTGGACAAGGTCAGGGTCCCTTGAGGCCACCCCTTTTCTTCTTGCCTCCCTCTCTCTCCATTCATCTTTTCTAACAGTTCAGAGTGGTGAGTTGGTATGTAGGGAAACTGAGGCCCAGAGGATAGAAGGGTCCTAAGTCACTTGGAGAGTTGGGGCAAAGCAAGGAGGAGTCAGGCCTGGCCCTTGGGCCAACGCCACATCTCTAACATCTGTCTGCCTCCCTCCGCTCCTGATTCCTTTGTCTCCCGCACCCTGTCCTGCTCCTTCTGAATCCTGCCAAAAGGAGTGAACTTGATGAGGATGCTATTTCCTGTCAGGCTCATGAAAAACAGCTGGCTGCTCTGATCCACCCCCATCCACACCCTGCTCAAGATGAGGCCTTGTGTGGGCCCCAGCCCTGACAGGCCGGGAGCCAAGCCCTAAGCCCTGGTCTGGCTTGGCCTGAGTAGGAGGTAGCCTGCTCCGAAGCAGGAGGATGCCACTTGTGACCTCCAGTTGGCCTCGGTGCCTCCCCCAAACAGCCCCACCCAGGCAGGCTCAGTTCAGCGAGAAGCCCAGTGGGAGCCAGGCTTCCAGCTCCCAGGAACCCAGGCGTCCAGTCTCCGGCCCAGCCCAGTCTAGCTCGCCAGCCAGGAGGGCCGGCACTCCCATTGGTTGGAAGGGCTGGGCAGGCCGTGAGGAATTCAAATGTGGGAGGAATTAGCTACAAAGCACCCCCTCCTCTGCTCTTCCACAAGGCAGAGGGAGCTTGAGATCCTCTAGAGAACAGGCTTGGCGATTGATAGGGTCCTGGGGGCTGCTAGCAGGGTGCGGCCTGGGCTTTCTCCTTCCCTCTCTGTCTTTCTTCCTCCTCCTTCTCCCTTTCAACCTGAGGATGGACTCCCAGACCTGGTGACTCCTTCCTGCCCCTCCCTCTCCTGCCCCATCTCCCCTGGCCCACCGGCCCCTCACCCCCGTCCCAAGCTTGGGCTGACTCCCTCCTCCTCGTCCCTCCTCCCAGGCCCTGTGTGCTGCGGTCACCACCACAGACCTGGCCGAGACCCAGGCGCTCCTGGGCTGTGGGGCTGGAGTCAACTGCTTCTCAGGGGACCCTGAGGCCCCTACGCCCCTGGCTCTTGCTGAGAAGGCAGGGCAGACGCTGCAGATGGAATTCCTTCGGAACAACAGGACCATGGGTGAGTGGCCAGTGGGACTGTCCACCTCTCGGGTTGGGGCCTCCTTGCTGCGAGGGTCTGGCTCTGCGGAGAGGACGTGGGTGGGGGCTGCAAGGGGCTGTGTATCATGCTGTAAGGTTTCAGTTGCTGCTACTTGAGCTGTGACTGCAGCTCTTTGAGGGGCCGCGGAGCAATGTCGGGTATGTTTGGTTGCATGTCAGTGTACATTTGTGCATCTGCTTCTCCTTCATCTGTGTATCCCTTTGCGTGTCTGTTTCTATGTCTCTTTGTATGTCTGCGGGTCCTTCTTTGAGCTGTCACGTGGGCCTCCGGGTGGGCTCTGTTCTGCTGTCTCTGTCTCCGAGCTGCCGTGGACCTGTGTTTCCTTGCACCTGGGCGTATTGTGGCTTTGGGGTTTGTGCCCGCCCAGAGTGTGTCTGTGTTGCTGTATGTGGGTGGTGTTGCCTTTCTCCCTGTGCGGGTGACCCACCGTGGCACCCTGTCCGCTGCTCTCTGTGGGCGGGGCTCTGTCACAGACTGGAGTTGAGTGGCATTTGGCTTCCGCTCTTGGGGTGATTGGGAAGGGGACTGCAGGGGTAAGTGGCTCTGATTATGGCCCAGACTTGGCCTCTGGGGCCACATCCCAGGACTGAGGGTGGAGCTCAGCTGGGGCTCTGGGCTCAGGGCCACGGGTGGCTGGGGTGTGCTGAACTGGAGAGAGCCTCGGTGTTCCGGGAGGTGCAGGAGACCACCCAGCTGGCTTGGGCTTTGGGACCGTTGGGAGCAGGGCTGGAGCCAGTTGCTTCCTTAAGCCTTGAGTCGTCTGGGACAAATCTCCCTCTGGGGATTATTAGTGAGCTTACCCAAGGCCCCCCTCATTCTGGTGTGCTGGCCCAACGCCTCCAACAGGGAGAGCAGGCTGGGCAGGGGAGTCAGGAAAGCTTCCTGGAAGGGAAAGTAATGGAGCTGATCTTTGGGAGTAGGGTGGAATTTTTACAAGTAGAGAGAGGTGGAGAGGGACTGGAGCAAACCTGGAGGTGGAAGTGAGGGAGCAGGACAGCTCGGGCTCATGGATGTTCAATCCGGGGGAGGTGAGGTGGGACACTCCTGGATGACTTCTGGGACTGCATCCCAGGACTGAGGGTGGGGCTCACGACTGGCCATTCTTACCCCCACTTCCTGAAAGAGGTACCTCGATTGGACTCAGTGAAGCCCCTGGAAAAGCACTACTCGGTTGTCTTGCCAACTGTGAGCCACAGTGGCTTCCTCTACAAGACTGCTTCTGCCGGCAAGCCGCTGCAGGACCGCCGTGCCCGGGAAGGTGGGTGATGGGCCAGACCTCACCTTGGTTGTGGCATTCTGGCATGGTGCCAGGGAAACCAGGGCTGACCAGGCTGGTGGACCCAGTGAGTGCCAAGTGTACTCTGGCAGAGTCACCTGGGAGCTTCCCGGATGTGATCTTTGGCACACAGTAGGTGCTTGGAAAATGGGCTGCTGGGGGTGTTGGCTGGCCATGGCCCTGCAGAGCAAGTCACTGCCAGCTCCTACTGGGTGTGGGCCCTGTGCAGGACATCTGGTATTTAGAGCTGTGGATACGAGGAAATTTGAGGACTAAGCTTTAAGCTCCATCCCTCTTTCATCTCAGTCTTCCATTTGCTTCAAGTACAGTAAAAGCTGCAGGGACCTGCATATCAGCTACCCCAGCCCATTACTGCTCTGACCCACTTCCTTCACTGTGTTCCAGCTTTTCTGGTCTCCTTGCTGCTTCTCAAACAGATGCTTTCATTTCCACCATGGCCTTTGTGCTTGTTGTGCCCTCTGCCCCAGATGCTTTCCCCCAATATCTGCATGATCGGCCCCCCCCATTTCAATCAGGGGCCGATTGCATATCACTGTTTAAATATCACTCCTCAGAGCTGGAAGGGATCATGCTCAGCGAAATAAGCCAGAAAGAAAAAGAAAAATACCGGATGGTCTCACTCATAGCAACTAGAAAACTTAAATAAGGGACCAGGAAAAAGAATAACTATAAGAAAGAAAAAAATCAAAATCAACAAACAACTATGAACTAGAGACACACTATGGGGGGGTGGGGTGGGGAAAGGAGGGATTGGGGTCAAAATAAGGGGGTTGCAATTGTATGGGGAATATAAAAATAAAATTAAAAAAAAAATAAAAATCACTCCTCAGAGACTTCATTCCCCACCACCTGTCCAAAATACTGCTCGCTATTGACCCTACTTTCCCACCACTTACCTGACATTCATTAGTCTAGTTAGGTCTCTCTATTGGTGTTCTGTGCCCCGCTGGAATATAAGCTCCTTTTGACTACCACTGTTACCCCCAGCGCCTAGAACAGTGCTTAGCACACAGTGGGCTCCATCTACAGGATAGAGTGGCTGGCGCAGGGCAGTCACTCCTGCAGGGAGCCCAGCCATCAGACAGGCTCTCGGACACCTCCCCCAGCCCCACTCCACCCATCAGGGGCATATGCCGTGTCCCCGTAGGCAGGACAAGAGCCATTGTCTGCAGTGGGAGCATGCTGGACACCACCGCGTCCCTCTGTGGTCCCAGGTGAAGCCCTCAAGTCCAGCAGAGATATCTTTGGAACCCTTTGATGTCTCCCTCCTCACTGTCCCTGGGGTGCTAGCCCTTGTCTTCCTCCTTTTTCCTGATAATGTCATTTATGTAACTGCCTGAGTCATCCTTTTTGCCTTGAGTGCCAGGAAGCTCTGAGCCGCTGTGAAGCTCAATGCTATGAACTCTGTGAGCCTGCATGGTTTGACACTCTGTTCTTTCTCCTACCTTTCCTGGTCCACAGTCCATTCTGTTCCATTGTAGGATCTTGTCAGTCTCATCAGAGTCATTCTGGAAGGAGGCAGAGTATAGAGCCATGGGTGTTACTGGCAAAGGGAGGGGTTGTGGGGGGGAATGGAAGACTTCCTATGGCATTTGGGTTCACCCAGAAGAATGGAGAGTGTGGGTGGAAGGAACAGGGTGAGCGAAAGTGGGGAGGGTGAGGTATGTGTTCAGGAGTGGTCAGAGAGGTGACCGGAGAGGTGGGCAGGGGCACCTGCAGAGCCTTGAATGCCAAGCTGAGGGGCACACCTTGTCCTGAGGTCTATGGGGTGAGGAGGGCATGGAAGTATTTTGAGCAAAGGAAGGACAGAGTCTGATTTTAGCTAGATCACTTTTGAATTCTGGAGGACGTGAGGCTGGGAGACCAGTGAAAGCCTCTGCATCCAGGGGAGAGTGTGGTGGACTGGGGCAGTGGGGGTACAGAGAGGAGCATGAAATTGGGGGAGCTTGTGAGTTAGAATGAAGAGGATACGGGTCAGGTGGGAGTGAGGGCCCAGTGAGGATGGAAAGGGGTGTTCATGGCTCCCTGCCCCACTTCTCCCCAGAGTTCAGCCGGCGCTGGTGTGTCCTTAGTGATGGGGTCCTGAGCTACTATGAGAATGAGCGGACATTGACACCCAACGGGGAGATTCGGGTCAGCGAGATTGTGTGCCTGGCAGTACTTCCTCCTGACACCCACGGGTGAGCACCCCTGGACAGACTCGCAAAATTATTGCTGTAAGATCCATCCCTTCATTTGGGAGACAGGGAAACATGCCCAACACGGCAAGACCTCCCCAGGGTCACACAGCAAACTGGAGCTGCATCAGGTCTCCTGTGGCCTGAGCCTGGGCCTTTGCAGTGACCTCCCCTGTGGGGAAGGCAGTCATGGGGCAGTGTGGGGAGGGCTGGACTGGGGCTGGGTGGCATAGCCCTGAATCCTGGCCTGTGTATCTGCAGCTTTGAGTACACCTTTGAGGTGTACACGGAGGGAGAGCGGCTGTACCTGTTTGGGCTGGAGAGTGCGGAGCTGGCTCGTGAATGGGTCAAGTGCATTGCTAAGGTGGGCCTGGAGTTAGTATGGGGTAGTTGACAGGGCCCAGGGTGGGCCTCTTGGCTGATTCCATGTATTCCCAGCTCTCCCAACTCATGGAGCAGGGACTGAATGGAGGGCAGCTGACAGCTGACACAGGGCCAGCTTCTTAGATCAAGGGCCTGATATAATCTGCACCCCCACCCCAGTGTGGGGGAGATCAGGAACCCTATCTCAACTTTGTGGAAGGGGGACCATGAGTCTTTTATTCCACAGGTGCTCAATACATGTTTAATGAATGGCTGTCAAAGTGTCTTAGGATCGATAGTTCCCTCCAGGGGAGTGAGCTCCTTGTTCTGGAGGAGGCAGGGCAACTGCCCTGGGGTCTCTAGCCAGGTATACTCTGGAGTCTCCTGTGCCATAAGGGCCTGTAAATCTTATTTGCTAGTTCATGGATCTGTCATCTGTGAACCTCCAGAGATTCAGTCCTCAGAGCTCTGGGGACCCAGATGACCTAGTCTTGGTCCTGGCTCTTCAGTCGCTCCCTGGCTGGTGGGGGAGACAGATGGGGTGGTGACAGCAACAACAGTGTAGTCAGTGCTGCACCAGAGGGCAGGCATGCTCTGGCACTGTGAGGACCCCAGAGAAGGGACAGCCCTGACGGTGTCTGGGAAGGCTTTCCAGAGGAGAGCAGAGCTTGAGTAGGAAGTAAGGCAAGATGCTCAAGTTCATTCACTATTAGGTCTGCCCTGGGGAAAAGAGAGGAGGCAGCGGGTAGGGTGAGGGCATATGCCCCCTTGCCAGGGAGCTGGGGTGTCCTGGGAAAGAAGTGCCAATGGCTGGAAGTCTCACTAGCTGCCTCCCCTTTCCCTGGCTTCCCTACCAGGCGTTTGTGTTGCCCCTGGCTGAGGATCTGCTAACTCGGGATTTTGAACGGCTTGGGCGTCTCCCCTACAAAGCGGGTCTGAGCCTCCAGTGTGCCCAGGAGGGCTGGTTCTCGCTCACTGGCTCCGAGCTCCATGCTGTCTTCCCAGAGGGAGCCTGTGAAGAGCCGCTGCAACTTCGGAAACTGCAGGAACTTTGTGCGTGGACCCAGATCTAGACCCCCAGCCTGTAGGGCACCCTCTTCTGTAGGGCTGCTAGTCCCCCAACCCTGCCCTGAAGTCTAAACTCTACCCTGGTCTGGTCAGAAGGAGCCAGCCAGCTCTCTTATTTCCCTTCCTGTCCTTGGGATGCACCCCAGCAACCCCATATCATGGTGGGAGGATCCAGGGGTGTGTGCCCAAAATCCAGGATGAAACAGGTTGGGGATCATGAGTGAGTCTGGGTCTCATCTTGACTGGCCCTTCCACAGCCATCCAAGGGGACGGTGAGAACCAGGTGCTGGTGCTAGTGGAGCGAAGGAGGTGAGCCCTGGCTTCCCTGAGGGGCTTTGGGAGGCCTGTGGCAGTATTGGCAGGCATGGGAGGGGTGGGGCAGGAGTCGGACCCAAACTGCCCCACTGCCCCTGGCCCAGGACGCTGTACATCCAAGGGGAGCGACGGCTGGACTTCACAGGCTGGCTGGCGGCCATCCAGAAAGCTGCGGCCAGCTCAGGGGACACGTTGTCGGAGCAGCAGCTGGGAGACTCAGATATCCCAGTGATCGTGTACCGCTGTGTGGACTACATCACGCAGTGCGGTGAGCCCGCACCCGGGGACACGGGCCCCGCCCCGCCCCGCCCCGCCCGTTCGGATAATTTTTACCTCCTGCCCAAGAGACCCAGTCCCGCCTTCTCAGTGGACGAAGTAGCTGCGTGGCCCCGCCTCTGTGTCAGCCCCACCACTGGCCCCACCCCTCCCCCAGCTCAGCCCCACCCTCTCGCAGCCGCACCCCAAGGCTCAGCCCCACCCCTCTCCAGGCCTGACCTCCGAGGGCATCTACCGCAAGTGCGGGCAGACTTCGAAGACTCAGCGGCTGCTGGAGAGCCTGCGGCAGGACGCCCGCTCTGTGCGCCTCAAGGAGGGCGAGCAGCATGTGGACGACGTCTCCTCGGCACTCAAGCGCTTCCTCCGAGACCTGCCTGATGGACTCTTCACGCGAGCCCAGCGCCTTGCCTGGCTGGAGGCCTCAGGTGGGCCCAGCAGACCATGCCCAGCTGGAGACCACGGCCAGGGCTACTGCCTCATCCTCTCAGACTTCCTCCCCTCCCCGTCACACATGCCCCAGCAGTCAGGTTTCAGTCCTCGGCTGCTTATGTCGGTTGACACCCTATAGAGCTAGTGTCACTTGGAGACAAGAATTGCCTGTCCTTGCTGAGTGCTTGATTTGATGGAGGAGGAGGCAGGGAGTGCTCGCCCCTAGGATGATAGGCAGAGTGGCCAGAGGGTTGGACAGGGGAGGTAGTCACAGAGGGGTTACTGACCTCACCTATTTTTCCCCACCCAGAGATTGAGGATGAAGAGCAGAAGGTCTCCAGGTATCGAGAGCTGCTGGCACGTCTGCCTCCAGTCAACCGGGCCACGGTGAAGGCCCTTATCAGCCACCTATACTGGTGAGGGGATATATTTTTGTGAGGCTCTGGGGGTGGAGTGGGGTGGGGAGGCTGCCAACTCAGCTAACTTCTCACCCCTGAGCCCCACATAGACCTGGGGACTGATGCTGACTTACAATCCCTGATCTTGAATCCCACCCCCAGTTCCTAACTTAATTGCTGCCAACTTATGTCCCGCAGGGTGGAAGAGTAGAGCAACCTGGGCCAGGGTGCCTTGGCCAGATTGCCCATCTTCCTAGCCCTACTCCTTGCCCTAGACATGGCCAGAAAGATTGTCCTCTTCTCCTTGACTAGTGGGCCACCTTGACCAGGACCTCCCCTGGCTTTATTCCAGGGTCCAGTCATGGGCCTGTCAGGAATTGGGAAGGTGAGCGGGGAAGTTGTATTCCAGACTCCTCATTCAAATCCTCCACCCTCCCCGTCTAGTGTCCAGTGCTTCTCAGACACGAACCAGATGAACACGCACAACCTGGCTATTGTGTTTGGGCCCACGCTCTTCCAGACAGATGGGCAGGACTACAAGGCTGGCCGTGTGGTAGAAGACCTCATCGGCCACTATGTGGTGGTGTTCAGTGTGCGTCCCGAGGTGCTCTGGAGGGCAGCTCTAGAGGGCAGAGCTGAACCTCCCAGGTGGCAGTGACCATCTGTCTCTGTCCCTCTCTTCTTCCCAGGTGGATGAAGAGGAACTGAGGAAGCAGCGGGAGGAGATCACTGCCATTGTGAAGATGCGTGTGGCTGGCACTGCCAGTGGTACCCAGGTGAAGGACAGCGTGGGGTGGGGGGCTCAGGCCTTCTGCCTGCACATGCTCACTAAGTCTTTAGCTGAATCCTTTACCCCCACAGCATGCTGGTGACTTCATCTGCACGGTGTACTTGGAGGAGAAGAAGGCAGATGCTGAGCAGCATATCAAGGTTGGAGCTAGGGATGGAGAAGCCAAGGGGATGGACAGGGCCACACATGAGCTTAGATGACTGGGGGGCACAGCTTTCACCCCCAGGGGAACCGTGGTTTGTCCGGGACCTATATCTGTCTGTACTGTGACCTGTCGCTTCTCATCCCCAGCTTGCTCCTCAGGAGACCCTGAGATGGGTGGGCTTGGCCCTTGGACCACATAGGTTGTGGCAGAGCAGGGTCGGAAGGCAAGATAGGCTATCTTTTCTTTGGTCACCACAGATCCCAGCATCCATGACAGCTGAGGAGCTCACCCTGGAGATTCTGGATCGCAGGAATGTGGGCATCAGGGAAAAGGACTATTGGACCTGCTTCGAGGTCAACGAGAGGGAGGAGGCAGGTGGGTGGCCGCCAGAATTGGTGCAGGGTATGGTGTAGCTTATCCTTGTCTAGGCCGCCAGTGCCAGTTTGCCCTACCTCACCCCATAGGATAGGGATAGGGATAGTGGTGGTGAAGGGAGCTTGGATGATGCATGTAACTGTCACATTGTGATTTCAGTGGTGTTAACAGCGTGCCAACAAGGTTTGAGGTGATGGCTGTAATGTGGCCAACAGGGGCAGGGTGGGGGGAGGACAGTGAAGGTGGTAGATTGTGTAGGCTGTGACATTGTTCTCTCAGGTGTCTGAGGATGGTATTGCTTGTAAGGGTGATAATGCTAATTTGATAATAGCCTCGAGGGTGACACTGTTGGTGGTGAAGGGGGTAGTGGGTGATGAGGACCTTGCAAGAGACAGGAGGTGGTGGTGTAGATAAGGGTGATTGTGATGATGTGGGGAAGGAGCTATGGTAGTGAAGGGGGGGGTGATAAAAGCATTAGGGTGGAGCAGTCCTGACAGCAGTAGAAAATGAGGGTGGAGCTGATGGTTTGTTTTAGCTATTATTGTTGAGTGCTGGGCACTGGACTGGGGAGCCAAATGCACAGTCCCTGCGTAGCCTCGTGGGGTTGGTCTGGTGTGGAATAGAGACATTAATCCTGTGATCACACCAATTAACGTGCAACTGCAGCTGCATTCACTGTGTAGTAAGGGATCATGGTGCCACCAGACCTTGTAACAGGGCCTCTGGTTTCAGAGTGTCTGAACTAGGAGGTCAAGGTGGGGAGAGGTTACCTGGTGAAGAGGAAGGAAAAGTGCTTCCTGGTAGTGGGAACAGCATGGGCAAAAGCTTCTTGGGACCAAGGGCACTGCCCTTTCCAGGAGCTTGAGATGAGGAAGTGAGGGGGCATGGAGCTGATGCGGGGTGGCTGGAGATAGAGGAGGAGTCAGCCTTACAAGGCCTGCCGACAGTACAAGGCCATTGACAGGGTCACGATCAGGAGTTGCCGCTGGTAGAGAGAGCAGTGAGAGGGAGAGAGGCGGGAGGCCACTTTGAAGGCCACAGTTTAGTCCAAGGAGAAGATGACACGGGCCAGGACAGAAGCCATGGAGATGAACAAGAGCAGATTCCACACGTGGAATATGAGAGAGAGAAAGTTTGTTTCTGGCTTTTGTGACCTGGTGGGCAGACCACTGGCTGGCTTGGTCTTGTATATACTGAGTTAGAGCAGCTCTGGTCCCAGCCAGTCAAGTCAAGCCTGGAGCTCGGTGTGGGATCACAGTGCTGGTCGACAGTGGGAGTGGGTGGTGCCAAGAGACTTTAGGTGATGTGTGCGCATGTGCCAGCCCTCAGTGCTGTCAAGCCATGGGGCCCTGGTGACAGTGGATGTGACCTCTCCCCAGAGCGTCCCCTGCATTTTGCGGAGAAGGTGCTACCCATCCTGCACGGGCTGGGCATAGACAGTTACCTGGTGGTGAAGAAGCACCAGTCCATGGAGGCCATGCTGCTGTACCTGGGTAGGTGGTGCCTGCAGAGCCAGACAGGCTGGCGAGTCCCCCCATCCAGAGTTGGGGCGGGACCTGGTGGCAGAGGTCAAGAGCAGCCGAGGCAGAGGGCACCAGGTGGGCAGGCCGTTTTGGAGGCAGGGGCAGTTCCCTTCATTCTGGGTTCCTCCCCTTGTCTGGGGTTGGTGTAGCCCATGCCCACTTCAGTCCTCCCCTAGCCAGCCATGTGGGCGACACCAAGCATGGCATGATGAAGTTCCGTGAAGATCGAAGCCTCCTGGGCCTGGGCCTGCCCTCAGGTGGCTTCCACGATCGCTACTTCATCCTCAACAGCAGCTGCCTGCGGCTCTACAAGGAGATCCGGGTGAGCAGCCCCCGCACACACCCCCGCGCAGACATGCCTCTGGGTCTGCTTCTGGGAGTAACTCCATTGGGGGTCCTGAGATGGCACTGTGGTGGGGAGCTGTGGCCCTGGGTGCACACTCTGGGTGCTTTGAGCCCCACTGGGCCCTGGTACCTAGATGCTGTCACATCAGTCAGGCACTTGCCATCTCACCTGAGCTTGTGCTTGTCATGGTTCCCTCAAGAATGTGCTACATGGCGACAGCCCCGAGTAATGGGCCATGTGTGCCTTGTCACTTCACAGGTTATGCCTCCTCCTGGCCCACTCCTTTCCCACTCTGTTCACATGCTGGGTGTCCTCCCAAACCACTGATTGTTTGCGCATACACGCTAAGCCCACCATGCACCACCACACACACACTGTCCTGGCTCTGGACCTGGGCTTCCTCTTTCCGTAACCCTGATCCTCTATCAAACAGAGCCAGAGGTCGTTGAGCGGGGCTCCTGACACCGTGAGTAGCTATGGGTCAACTGCCAGCTGCCTTACACCACCTGGGGGCCAAGCGAGCCTGGGGTAGTATGGGGGCCACACAGGCTGAGCTCCTGGCTGTCTCCAGGCATGGTTTCCTGTTCACTTGTCAGCCCTGGCCCCCACCCTGGGGCTTGTGGCCTGGGCTCCTGCCCTTCATCTACCTTTTTCTAGGACACCCTTTTCCTTTCCCCTAAGATAGGCTTCCCTATCAGTGTAATGCTCTAGAATTTTCCAGAGGACTCAGTGTGGAGGCTTGTAGTGCCAGGAAGGGAGGCCCCTACCTAGGTTTGAATTAGAGCTCTGATCTTCATCTCCTATTGTCCCTAGAACCACCCTCATTCTAACCCTGGAGAGTTCCAGGGTTATCAGAATGTCCTTGCTACTGCTCTGGTCTTAAAATGCCAGGGTGGGACCGCACAACCTTGTGGCATATTCCTGACTTATGGCAGGCGCACCTCTCAGGCTCCCTGACTGATTGCCAGCCCTTGTTTGCACTCCCCTGGGAGAGGGGAGCTCATCCACTCTTCCTTTTGGGCTGCTGTATCCCTGGAGGGATACTTCCACTTGGGAGAAGGCCTGTGCTTAGCTTCAGCTGAGAACTTGACTCCTCTGGCGCCCCGTGGATCCCTCGGGCACAGAGCATAGGTGCTCTACAGGAATAGACAACAGAAACGTATTACCAAGCCCAGTGGTCTGGCCTGAGCTTCCACAACTGCCCCTACCACTGACTCTAGTCGTTCCTGCCCCTCTCCTGAGGACGTCTGGACAGGCCTGGCTGCCATGGAGGGAGAGCAGGTCAGGGCAGATAGAACATCTCCTCCCTGCACTTATACCTATGTTAATGCAGCCTGGGCTCCTGCTGACCCTTGTGGAGAATGCCTCCTCTCCTTTGCCTCCCTCTGTGATCACATCCTTACCTCTGGGCCTCTCCATCTCTCCAGGCAGTTCCCTTGGTTCTGGGGTATTTCTCTGGCCCCCTCCCTGGGTATTTGGCCCCTTGGACCAGCAGTGTGGGCAGTGAGGATGGATGAGGCACCTGGAGGAGCAGCTGCTGATCCCTTGGCATGTAGGGGAGAAGGCAGGGGAGCTAGAAAAAGGAAACAGATCTCATGATTATGAAGCCAGACTCGGTGCCCAGTCCTTCACCAGTGCAGCCTGGGACACAGCACCTCACTACAGGCCTGCGAGGATGGGTATTAGCCCCATCTCAATCAGGAAAGCAGGCTCCCAGTGACTCGCCCACGCCTGTCTCTATGTGGGAGACTGGGATTCCAACCCAGATCTGTTAGTGTCAGAACCTCAGCTTTTATTCCTTCAAGTACAGGAGTCGAGGACTTGGCAGGCAGGGACCGGGGAGTGCAGGGTTACGTGGTGCTCTCCCCGGTGGCAGCTTGCACTTTCTGGCCTGACAGAAACCTTAGCACTTTGCTGACCAAAGTGCTGGTAATTTTGGTATTTACTGATTTACTGGTTTAGAGGGTAACAGGACAGGATATTTAAACTTGGAACAGTCATTCACAGTTCGGGATAGGTGAACATCCAAACCTCATACTGGGGGTCTCCCATTGTTGAAGACCCTGAGGTGCCTGGGAATGGTGCAGTCTAGAAAGATCTTGGTTCCAGCTGAGGTCTTTGAGCATCAAGGGGAGAACTTCATTCTCTGCTGATGACTTCATACCTCAGAGAAATCAAGTTTTAGGGTGCGAAGATTACACTAATGCTTCCTATAGATTACATAATGCTTCCCTTCTCCCGAAAGGCTCCCCTAAAGCTACCTATCTCGGCCGTGCCCATGTCATACACATGCCACGCATTTGCCTCGTCCTCTGGAGCCCGAGGGAGGGAGGGCTGAGGATTATTCAGCAACTCCAGGAGCCACAGCCCGGCTTGAATTCCTCAACTCCAGCAATTTTCTCATTGCCCTGACCAGAAGCCTCCTCCCCTCACACCCATAGACCAGTTCCTTCCTCTCTTGGTTTGCTCTCTCTCTTGCTCCTACTCTTCCTCTTGCACTGACTGCTTGCAAGTCCGCGGCCTGCTTTCCGGGTGTGATTCCTTCCACACCCGCAGTCCAGTTTTCCCTACATCCTTTCTTGTCTCATGCCTAGAGTCTGGTGCTTGCCTTGCCTGCAGCCTAATTTCTTTCATAGCCTGCCTCAGTCTCTCCACCCCTACCCGCTGGTTTCTTCAAACCAGCCATGTAATTTTTCAAAATCCTCAGCCTTGCTCTCGAACCTGCTCTCATGAGATTTCTTCCCCGTGTTCTCCCTGCACCTGTCTCACACGCCACAGTCTGTTTCCCTTCCTGCCGCCCGCTTCCTCCCTGCCTACTGTCCTATCGTCTGTGCCCACGGCCCTGTTTTTTTCATATCCCCTTGGGCAAGTGACCGTTCTTGGGTCAGGTGCTTTGTAGGAAACAGGGGTCCCACATCAGGACCTTCATCATTGGTGGGTGGTTATTAGGGTAGAGTAGGATGAAAGGTCCCCAGCAAGCCCTTCTTGGACCACACCCCTTGTGACAGCTTCTAAGTCTTCAGTGTTCCCTGGGTGTCTGGAATGACCTCACAAGGAAGTGCACCAGATCCTTAGACTCTCAGCCTCTCCTGGCCACGCCCCACTCCTTTTTTGTTCCTGCCAAGGAGCCATGCCTGGGGATGTCTGGGAGCAATGGTGGGAAACAGGGTGGAGGTGGCTCAGTCTTTGACCCCCAGATTCGGTTGTAAGTGTGTTCCCCTCCCCTGCTGACCGCCCTGGCACTAGGGGTGCCTGGTGGGGGCAGGGTGTCAAGCAAGTGGCTGCTGGAGAATGAGGAAGGCTCATTAGCTTGACCTCCAGCCAGCCTCTTCCTTGGGGGTCGTTACTCCTGCCCCCCTGCCTCAGAACCAGCCTGCTCCTTCCAAACCCAGACCCATATGCAGAGGTGGGGACCAGATGTGAGCGTGTCAGTGATCTGGTGCCCCTCCCCGGTACATTGGTCTCTTGCTTCCTGACAGACCATTGGGAAGTTCTTCCTTTGGTCTACAGAACAGCCATTCTGCTTCAGCTCGAATCATCAGTCTCCTCTTTGTGGAATCAAAGAGCTCATAACTGCTGACCCCACAGCCTTCTATCACACAGTCAGCCCTGGAGCCTCTGTGGGGCAGGAAGGCGTGAGGAACTAACCCCTCCGAGACATAGACACAGCAGCCCACCTGAGATACTCTCAGGACTCCCACCCTCTCCAGTCTGGGGCAGAGAGTGGTGTACAGCCCTTCTCTCTCCACAGACCAGCAGTTCTGCCAAAACTACAAGCCAGTTCTCCAGTTTGCAGGCAGCAGAGAGGGACTGAGAATCATGTCACCGGCTTTCCCACGGGACTGCTGCCTCGGGGACTGAGGGCTGACTGTCTGATGCTGCTGCAGGGAGAGACCCTGGGGGCTTAGTTGGGTGCATTGTGCACAGGGAAGGCTTCATCAGGAAGGCTTCCTGGAGGAGGCTCCCTGTGCTGGGATGCAGAGGGGAATGGGGAGAGAGTGGGGGAAGGTGACCAGTCGGAAAATTGAAGGCCTATTGCCTGCTCTGACTGACCGAAGTGTCCTCTCCCTCTGCCCTCCTCCACCCCAGAGCCACCGGCCAGAGAAGGAGTGGCCTGTGAAAAGCCTCAAAGTCTACCTGGGAGTGAAGAAGAAACTCCGACCACCTACCTGGTGAGCTAGAACTGGGTCAATAGGTCTGTGACCAGGGCCTGTGGTGAGCTGATGGGGGGACTTTGAACTCAGCTGGGCTTGGTACAGGGGTTCTGAAGCTGTGGCCTCCCAGATCTGCAGCATCAAAATCACCGGGGGACATGTTAGAATCCCAGAATCCCGGTTCTGCCACAGGGGCGCGAAACCCCAGATCCTGGGCTTGGCACCAGCAGTGTGTGTTGTCATGAGCTGTCCAGGGAACTTTGCTGCTTCCTCGTGTTTGAGAACCACTGGCCTGGATTGAAATCCTGCGCTGACTTTTCAGTGCTTCACCCCCCACATCTGAGAAAGGGGGAGATAATGGTACACTTGTTTCAAAGGGTGACTGTGCTTTAAAATGTTGAAACATTGAAAAGTGGTACATAACCACTGTTGTTGTTAATTACAGTCCTTGGACCTGGTCGTCTGCCTCTCATCCCCTGGCCGTGCCTGCTGGTCTCCCAGCGACTAGGGCAGACCTGGGATGGGGCAGAGGTGGGGGAACCAAGGGCCTGGAGGGGTGCAGGCTGCAAGAGGAAAAGGCAGCAGCCAGGATGTGCTTTGCTTGTGAGAAAGCCCCAGGCTCTGCGCCTGGCTCTTGCCCTGCTCCTGGGTGCTGAGGCCTCTGTGGCCTGTCAGTGACCCTGCTCTCCCTCCCCTGCAGCTGGGGCTTCACAGTGGTCCAGGAGACAGAGAAACATGAGAAGCAGCAGTGGTGAGTGAGCGCCCTGCCCTGAAACCCCATGCTGAGGAGAGATGGTAACACGTCCCCTGGATCGAGTCCCCCTCGTTGTCTGGATCTGTGCCCTGCCTGAGACCCTGGTCTGGGTTGCTGGGCCCTTCGCAGTATCCAGAACTGTGCCTGCCCCTCCCTGCAGGTATCTCTGTTGCGAGACACAGATGGAGCTCCGGGAGTGGTTTGCCACCTTCCTCTTTGTGCAGGTACCAGGTGCAGGGTGGGGGGTACCCATTAGGGAGGCTGGACACATTTATTGCTTCACTCTTCAAGCCACCAGTTTGCTTCAAGGAGATTTTGAGTTGCTTTTAATTTATTCACTCAATAAACTTCTTGGTGGCTGCTCTGGTCCGTCTCCAAGCCAGGAATGCTAGACAGAGAGGATGCAGAGCCCTGCCCTCAGGCATTCCCCACATAGGAAGGAAAACAGACCCAGAAGTGACTGGGCATAGCCCAGTGTCATAGGGTGGTCGGTGGCTGGGAGAACAGCAGGAGAGAGTGTCCAGGGAGCTGATCTTTGAGACAGAGCTTCACCAGGCAAAGGTGGCTTCTAGGCAGAGGACAGTTTGCACAAAGCAGTGATAAGAACTACAGATGGTCTGGCTGTGGGGATTGGGGAAGCCAGGGGTGCCGGAAGTTGACGCTGGAAAGGGAATCAGCGAAATCTGTCTTGAAGGCCATGCCACGGAAGCCGAGCTTGACCTGGTCAGCAGTTTAAAGCAAGAGCAATATGCAAGTTTAGATCTGAGCAGGCTCGTTCTGGATGTGACATGTGGGTGACAGTAGACTGAAGGGCCCAGCCTGGTGGGGAGGAGCCCACTGCGGTGGCTGCTGCAGTGGGCTGGGCAGGAACAGGTTGCTGAGGACTTGAGGGTTGGATTGCACTTAAAACAGATTTCTAGATGAGAAACTCACAAACGTTTAGGGAAAGGGTAGACAAAACTGTACCAGGGCCCTGGGCTGGGTTCTTTGCTGTTCTTTACTGAAACTACTTTCCTTTAGCCCTGAAGTTCCTAGTAGTCAAGGCCTACATGGAAACAGGGTGGATTCTATAGTTTTCTGGGTTTCTGGTGAAAGGAGGCATAGACATGTTCCTCTGGAACTGTTTTCTTGGTGCTGCATTCTGGGAGTAGTTAGTTTGTGGACCCACAGATGGGAGTTGTTGAGTAACATAATTGTTTCTGGGTTTTGCCAGGGATACAGTCATGTTCTCCTAACAGCTGCTTCTCATATCGGCTGGGATCAAAGCCGAGGGTGTCACCTTGGAGCGTAGCTGGAGGCATTTCTGGAAAGGGTGGGTGGATTCGGAGCTGGGTGTCTGGGCCAACAGAAGCCCAGGTCCCAGTGCCCCTCCTTTGCCCTGTCCCACAGCACAATGGCCTGGTGTGGCCCTCGGAACGCTCACGTGTGTCCCGGGCAGTGCCTGAGGTCCGTCTGGGTAGTGTATCGCTCATCCCTCTGCGTGGCAGTGAGAACGAAATGCGCCGGAGTGTGGCTGCCTTCACTTCGGACCCCCTTTCTGTGAGTGGCTCTCCATCCCTATGTGCCAGGGACTGGGGCGTGGTCAGAGCCTACCTTCCCTCTGACGCACCTCTCTGCTTCTCCTGAGTGCCGTCCAGACCCTCTCCCTCTACCCGTTATAGAGGTCCCGGCAGACCCCTTTGGTTCAGAGTTCGCGGCAGGTCCCTCTCTCCCTGTCCCGAGACCCCAGCTGGCTTGAGCATCCCTAGGCTGGCAATACAGACTAGCTGCAGAAGCCTCAGGAGGGGCCTGGCCTCTGTGAGCCTTCGCCTGGTGCTGATGGAGCCCGGCTTCTGTGCCTCCCCACAGGTCCTCCGCAACGTCTGAGCGCCGGGGGGCTCAGCCCCTGACTCTGGGGTTCTGCAGCTGGGAAGCCTTCCTGTTCAGACACCCTCATACGCTGTGTGCCTGGTGTGAGCCCGGAGGGGGCACAAGAGGAAGCTGCACCCTCACATCCCACATCCCGACTGCAGCATAGATTCCCTCAGGGAGGGTGGGGAATCAGCAGGGTCTGCCTGAGGCAGAACCCCTCCCTTGCTCGGTCTAGCCATTCAGCCCTGCGGACCTGGCCCACTCCCCTCCGGGGTCACCCTCCCTGCGTTTGAGGGAGATGGGCATAAATCAAGAGCTCTGGGGGACCACCATCCTTTCAGAGGCCCTAGGCCCCGTGGCTCCTGCTGGAAGGGAGCCTACCCTTTCCCATACACTCCAGAACTGCAAAAAGTAGATGCTCTAAAGGAACACTCAGCTGGGGGTGGGGAGCTCTTGGGCAAGTTTCTATAGGTGGACTTGGGAATTTCAGCCCCACTCCCCACCCCTCCTCCAGCCTGAGAGGCCCAGGCTGCCCACTGTCCCTTCCCCATTTTGGGAGCCTTTTGATAATATAAATATATCTGTATATTTTATCCTGTGGTGCTGAGGTCAATGATTAGTTGGGGGATTTGGGTGTCCTGGGGTCGGAGGGGACAGGAAGTCAGGAGGCCCCGAGCTGAGTGCCTACTGCGCTGAGCCTAGGGACCTGGGTCCTCTCTCTCCAGACCCTGAGCTGTTCAGAACTCCCCAGTCCCCTGCACAGCCCTGGTTTGACCCCACCCCATCCCCACTGTACTGTTGCACAGCCAGGGTTGGGAGTGCTGTCCTGACCTGACCAGGAAGGAGCCCGGCTGGACTGAGCCCCCGGATCCCTGCTGCAGTCTGAATCTGAGCCAGGGATGCGGGGCAGCCTCTCATCAGACCCTCTGGAGCGGCAGTCTTAGAAGCCTTATTAAATTGAATTAGGAAAGAGAGTCCCCGGCCATCCTTAGCTCCTGTGCACACCCCTCCCAAGGTGGGCCTTGCTTTGAACTATAAAGTGGCCCTCACTGGGTGCTGCCCCCCATCACCAAAATGGCAAGGCCCTGGCAAGTGGAGGAGGTAACAAGAGCTGTAGTGAGTTGCATTTGGGACTCCCTGGGAAGGTGCCAGACAACACATTCCCACCTCTTCCTACCGCCACTTATGGCCTCTCCAGGGAGCCAGCAGGCAGGCAGGCTGACCTCTCGGCTTCAGCCTTAGTTAATGGGACCTGGAATCCCTTTCCTTGTTCCCGTCTCTGGGAGGGGAGGTCAGTACGGGAGCTGGCAACAGTTTCTTGGTGATTTTTATAGGCTGGGCTTAAGCCGCTTCAGCCTCCCGCTCATCCCGCCCTAGGCAACCTGCTCTACACCGGACCAACCGTTCCACCCGCAACCAGGGTGAGACCTTTGTCCACATCCATAGGGGCTTTAATCCCCCCCAGACCTGACGAGCTATCCCCAAGGCCAAGAGAGAAGGGGAGTGAGACACCCCCCCTTGCTAGACTGCTCAGGGGTGGCTGCAGTGACTATATTAGGCCACCGGGGGGAAACCTTGGACAGTGCAATGCGACTGGGCCAAGACTGCGTTCTGGACGCCCCGTGTGACTGTCCTGGTCCCAGCCTTGCTCTGTTGGAGTGCAGGGGTGTGACCTGGCCCTGCCTTTTCCCCCAATCCCGATGATATTCTGGGAGGCAGAACAGTGCAGGGGTGTGCTTTAGACTCCTGGGTTGTAGGAACCAGGAGGAGAGAACGGTTCTTCACTAAACAGGCACCCACTGCGGGTCAGTGCCGTGCTCTGTCCTCTGTCTCCTGGAGAGTAAGGAAGTTTGGCCCAGGGAAGGCAGGCAACCTGCCCACGGTCATGCAGCTCTCTTGAATCAGGACTGAGGCCCATTTCCACCCCACTATTTTGAGAGGTCTCCTTCCTCCTCTCCCCTCCAACTCAGATTCCAACTGCTCTTTCCTCTTCTAAGTAGTGCCATGGGTCCCCCAAGGAAGGGATCTGAGCCGTCAGGAGTTAATGACTCTTTTTTTTTTTTTTTAAAGATTTATTTATTTATTTGTTTATACAAACACTGGATACAGTCAGAAGCGCGGGAGGGTGAGAGAACCCACCAGAGCCAGAGCGGGGAGCAGAGCAGGCAGAAGGACCGAAGTACACTGCTGAGGGGAGCAGCGGGCGGCAGGAGAGGTCTGCGCGCCATGCGGGACCCTCCTCCGGTGGCCGGGGAGCAGCCGGGGAGCAGCCGGGGATCGAACCGGCGCTGCAGAGGCTGCGGGCACCCAGCGCTCAACCGCTGCGCCACCGGGGAGGCCCAGGAGTTAATGACTCTTGAAAGTGCTTTCCTTCGGGGACTCGGATGCCATCCCAACAAGAGCTTCAGGGCCTCGACCTAAATGAGTTACAGCAGTGACCATGGTTTTGGGCGGGTATGGGCAAGAGACTCTTTGTCCAAGGATTCCTAGAAATAGGGCCTCCTTGGACTCCAGCTGGTTTGTTCATGTATTATTTGAGGCTGGGTTGGAGGATAACAACGGAACCTGCTGAGGGCTGGGGAGCAGCTCTCGGGGAGGGAGGAGGCGGCGCCCTGGTCTGGCCCTGAAGACTGGAAGCTTTGCCGGGTACACATGGTGGGAAGGGGTGCTATTTGGGGTAGGGGCAGGTGGAAGAGTTGGGGAAGGCCCTTGGGTCAACCCTCATTCACACCTAACAGTGGAGACCACAGTGCGCCCTGGGGACTTCTCGGGAAGGCAAGGCAGAGTCTCCTGGTGAGGACAGACGTTGTGGATGGAGAGGGGCTGAGGGAGGAGAGTGGGGCAAGGGCTGGAACGGAGGGTAGCCTGTTTCTTTCTCTTCCCTCTCCTTCCTGTTCAACTTACCCATCCTGCAAAGCTCTCGTAAGACATTGAGGGTCTCTGGAGACCCCTGGTCTCTGCAGGAAATCGATGGGAGGGGGAGGGAAAGATGCACCCTGCCTCCTCCTCCTGCCTCCTGAGCCAGCCTGGAGCTGAGGCCTTTCCTGGCTCCGTGATCTTGTGGCTCCCAGGTCCTGTTCACAGCTGGCTGTTTGGGGAAAGCATGGGTGTGGATGCCAGCTGAGCAGATGCTGATGCTACCATCCATCTCCAGTGTTCTCACCTGTACTTTGGAGAGATTAACAGCACTCACTAGTGGGAAGAGCCAATGAACTGATCAGTGTGAAGTGCCCAGCACCGTCCCTTGATAATTCCCTTCCTAAATATGTTTGAGAATACATCGTGGCATCCAGGGTTCTCTCCAGGTCCAATATATTTTCATTCGACAAATACTGAACACCTGTGTGCAGTGCTTAACTGAACACTGAGAGCACACAAGTGAGAGGACAAGCAGGTGGAGTGGAAAAAGGACATTGCCAAGAGAAGTGATGCCATGAGCCAAATGCAAGGTGAAAGGATCTTGCAGTGAACAACCTGTTGTGGCTGGAACTTAGTGCCCCATGGGCCCTGGTGTTGGGCTCTTTGTTTCTACCCCAGGTCTTTTCCATTTGACCACATTCAAGTGAAGTAGACTCCTTCGGGTCTCCTCTCACCAGAAAAAGGAGTAGTTTCTATTCCTTTGGTCAGCTCTGTGTCCTAAGTGACCCAGACCCTGATCTGCAGGGTGTGTCTGTCTTGTCTGTCTCTCGGACACACTACAGCTGGCATGAACCACCCAACCTCTATTCCAATGACACCTCCTTCAAGAAGCTCTCCTGGATTGTTTTCCATCCTGTTGTACCATGTGCTATTAGGTGTGTGTGTGTGTGTGTGTGTGTGTATGTGTGTGTTTTTCCAGGTCACCTGGCTAGAGGTTGAGCCATAGGGGTAGGGTTCTCTGGCCAGTCCAAGCTGACTGAGCCCTAACATGGCCCCTCTCCCACGCCACTTGCATCCTGTGGAAATTTCCGCACTTTCTCTGCCCTGGTTACAGCTCCTATTACTGTATTTATCACCCTGGAGACACAGTGGCACAGGCGCATGCATGCCACACACACATTCATGCCCTGCACACACGTGGTGCTGGCACACCTCAGCCTGCACACACACACACACACACACACACACACACACACACACACGCTCGAGGCACATGTAGGAACACCCCCACACACAAAACTCTCTAGGAAAATTGCCCCCCTCCCTCCTGCTCCGCCCCCGCTCTGTCTTCCCACCACCTCCCACCTCAAAACTGAGCCAAAAAAGATGGGCTGGACGGCGCCTCCCACTGCTTGTCAGCCTGGGAAGCGTTTCCACCTCCGTGACTATAATGTCTTCCCTACCTTCCCTTTCCCTCTGTCTCCCCAGCTCTCCCTCCCCTTCCCCCTCTCGCTGTCACTTCCCTGCATTCCTGTGTAGCTCCCTTCTCTCAGTAGCTCCGAGTGCTCTTTTTGTTGCTCTTTCAACCCTCTGAGGGGGAAACTGCCCTTCCTCCCCGCCCTACCACCTGAGGCCCTCGGGACAGGGTCCTCACGGGAGCTGAGGACAGAAGCACAGGCTGAGGGGACCCAAGGGTCTGAACCACCTCAGTTCCCGTCACTTTCAGCACCCCCCACCTGGGTGAGAGGAGGACTGTGCGCCTGGCACCATGGAGACAAGCGTCATGGCAACATCGCTGGGTGGGCACATTCTTCCTCCTGGGGGTGCATAGGAGGTCCCCCTAGGAGGAGCAGCCAGGAAGCCCTTAGGAGGTGGGCCTTGTGCTGGTGCCACACCAGCCTCCAGCTTGTACCACCCCCATGACACCCCCACCCTGGCCACCTCTACTGACACCACAGCTTCCAATGCCACAGTCCCTAATTCCAGTGGGGGCAAAGTTCTTTCCCAACAAATTGCAGAGCTGGGGACCCTAAAGGCTCATTTATAGATTGAGGACCAGAGAGGGCAGGGGCTTGCCCAGGGGCACACAGCTAGCCTAGTCGAGCTGCCGTCTGTCAGGCCTCAGTTCTCTCGTGCGGTCTCCCACTGTCCACCCAGCCAGCCGTCACTGGGGCACAGGGTCAGGCCAACCTTGGATCCAGCCACTGGGAGATCTCTAGCCTGTCCTTAGTGTTGGCAAAATACCGATCACGTGGTAATGCTGACAAACCATTACGAAATACCCACATCTGCTGGGCTGATGGCATCTCAATTGCTGTGTCATCTCTTTTAATACCTGTAACCAGCCCTGTGAGGGAGATAGCCATTTCATTACCGTTTTGTAGGTGAAGAAACTGAGGCCTGGACTTGCCAGACCTGCTGATAACAGGTGACTCCGCGGTGTGGGACAGGAGTGCAGGTTCTGCTTTGATGGTGGAGATGGCCAAGGCGTCACGCCTGCACACACACACCACCCCCCGCCCCCGCGCGGCTACTCGTCTAAATGGTGACAGACATTTGCTTTCAGTCCTGTCTTTCCTTCTGAAGAGAGTTTGTTGGCAAGGTCTGCGGTTTGGTCTAGGTCTGGCCTTCTAGAAACTAGAAGGTTAATTTCCTAAGAAGAGGGGAACAACCTTCTAGTGTGTTTAGACCAAAGGGATGACCTCCGTTGCTGTCCAGCAATGTGGACACTAGCTCACAATCCTCAGGTCTTTTTAGAGTCGCATCTAAGCCCAGGCTATAGCCTTAGGATGGAGGGAGGAGGCTCTGCCTCTTGGGCCCAGCCTCAATTTGTCTTCCCTGATGGAGTCACGTTGCAGCTGCCTTGCTCCTGGCTTATGTAATCACTCAAATATAGCAGCTGCTTTTATCCCACTGAGTCACACCCCCTGTTGCCCCCCCTCAGGTGCGGGGAGGTAAGGGGGAAGAGGTAGATTAGGGCTGAGTGGGTGGCTCAGGGCCTCCCAGCAAGGAAGATCCTGGTGTGCTGCATTGGAGGGTAGGGATGGTGGCAGCAGAAGGCGGGGTGCTCACTGACCTGCTCTGTGGGAATTCCTTCTATCCCAGGGCAGCCTGAGGTCAGAGAGTGTGAAACAGCCCTCAGCTCTCCAGGGTAAGACTGGTAATTGGTTGAACATGGATTTCATGGAGGATTGGCCTGAAAACCCCTGTGTGATTCCCTCTGGCTGGGGGCCAGGATCAGCCCACATCTGGGGCTTGGCAAGAGGAGTCAGGGTGGGGGAGGGGAGAGTGACGCTCGGGGAACCACAGCCCGACTCTTCCAGGGAGCTGCCATCCGAGGCTCCAAGGACAATGACTGGAGGAGAACCCTGTCCCTGGCAAGGGCCTGGAATAGTCCCTGAAGTTCCCACACTAAGCACAACACCCTCCCCATCATACCATGGGTGACAAAGCCTTGGCTGACAAAGGAATGAAAGAAAGGCCACTATAACCCCCAGCTCTATGGTGGAGCAGCTTCTTCAATACCTCAGAAAGGTGGTTTTGGGGTTCCAGAAATGAGGGTTGAGATGTTGTGGGGCTGCTTCAGGTTCCAGGATCAATCAGAGCTGCCCTATGAGGGAAAGGGTGCCCCTAGGTGTGGGTAGGCAGCTCCCCATTCCTCCTGAGCAGGGGATGAAATGGCAGGACAGATGGGAAGTCCAGGGAAGGGAGAGATGGCCAAAGGCTGCTCAGTCCCTCAGGGACCTTTCCTGCCCGTGGATGGAGTGGGAATGTGAAAATCTGGCCCGGGAATATGAGAAGACTTGGGGTGAGCAGAGAAAAGGGAGGGGGGAGTCAGCCTGAGACGCGGCCAGATCAGATACTGGAGTGCCTCCTGCTTACGGTCAGTCGAGGTCATTTCTAAGGATATCAGCCAAGCAGTAGAACATGCAAGAGCCAGTGCAGTCCAGCCCCTCGCTGCAGGTAGGAGAGCTGAGGTGAAAGAGAGCGGGCAGAGACATGCCTGGATTACATGGTTGAGCAAAGGGCAGGGTTGTGCTTAATTAAGACCGGGTACTTCTGGCCACAGCCCCTCCAGACCACATCAACCTCTTCCTCTTCCTCTGCTCCGGCTGGCCTAGAGGCCCAGGAGAGAAGGCTGTACAGCTTGTCACCCTGGGGAGGGAGCTCCAGGAATGTCAAATTTCAGC